GATATACATTTTAATTTCATGTACATAAGGTCGAAGCTGGCGACCGTCGATTAGGATACAAGCCGCATAGCTGCCTTCGGGGCGGCTGGGCCGGTTCGGATGACGTAATCAATCAATCAATCAATCAATCAATCGACGGGGCCAAGGCGGATGCGGAGCTGACTCATGGATTAACAGACTAAGTTAGCGCCGCAGTCGCGCTCACTGCGGTGGAAGATCGATTTCATGGTGCCTACAGAGCGGTACAAGAAACGCCGGTCAATCACCCTGACCGTCCTACATTTGTCGCCGATTTATCTCGATTCTTACGCAATAGTATTTAAATTCACGGTGTGGAAGTAACTCATTTCTGGTCATTTTGTTGCAGGGTCAGTTCTGCGCCATCTCCATAGCAGCCTACTAATGGCGATATGACTTCGAATGTAAATCACGGCCGGCTTCAAGTGTCACGTTTAAGCTTGTCTGTGCACCAGTAGTTTAAACCTTGAAGGTAATCTCACCTCACCTCACCTCACTAAATCACGATTGAAATTCCGTTGCTGATCTTCATATCGCTATATGGCTGCCAGTCATTCGCCTTCTTGCTGAGTAACTCCCGTCCTGTCGCGAAGCTTGTCGAGAACATGTGGAGGACCATAGACTGGTACGCCCTCTTAGCCTCGGTCTCCCTCTCACACCTACCCATTCACCTTTTGTCAAGTTGTGGACCTCAATCGGACAAACGCGTGGACGAATCACAGTCTTGTTTTTGGAGGGAGCTTGGTGTTTTTGTTTGTCGAAATTGTTATTGCGGACGGAGTTTGGGTTTGGCGGTTTAGCATCGTTGATTGGCACGCTCTAGCCGCTGGCTAATTTGGGACGATTGGCGTGGTGGCTCGCCCAACCACAGCGCGTCCTCCCGGTGGTGAGCAGCAAGTCAAGATTCGGTGGGCACTGGCTCGACCTAGCCGCCCAATACTACCAAGACGTTCGAGCCACGCAACCCTTCTGGGGTCCCACTTCCCAACGTACTTGCGTAGACTTCAAGCACCAACATCAAAGCGATACGGCAGAAATGCAAAACAGGAGATGTCTCTTGATTCATATCATCTATCGACGTCTGTATCTCTCCATGGCATTATCCTCAACACAAGTGACGAGGCCCTTAATGATTTCCTGCGTCATGGGTTCCGGGTCCAGCAGTGTATTCCACCCACCAATAGGCAGACCATTTGACAAGCATCGGAAATTCCAAATAACTCTGATACCACAACTCCAAGCATCGCTCTGTTGTGGAGTAGGCTGACTTCATGTTATTCATCATAAATAAAGTTGGGGCAGCTTTAACTTACGGCTTCTTGGTAAGAAAACCTTAGGCGACCAAATTCCTCTTGCACTAGTCTTGATATCCGGGTCTGGCCAATACCGTCTCTATCAGGTAGTGAGTCATAATGACGAATCGCCTGTTCCCGTTCATTGATTTCCAGTAGCGTGTAGTGGCTGTCTGTGTGGTTGATAGGGCAAAAGTACACCAATGGAACAGGATCTCCAAAGGTATCCTTAGCCAGTCGTCGGTACTTCGAAATCTTCTTAGCCCACTCGGCCAGCGGCCGTCTAAATGGTCGGGTTCGCTTCACTGGTTCAATCTCAATGATCTCATCTAGTGGAATGCTTTTGTCGTGTCGAACAAATGCTGGCCGGTCAAATATCTGCATGGCCGCGAAGATCGTCCAGGCGTCGAGCCGTTGGCCTGGACGAAGGTGTTGAAGTATCGTATTTTCTAACTCCATGCTTCCATTCACCGCCAACGTGTCATTAGGACTGAGTGCGGTCTGGTCCAACACTTTGGTCTTGACTCGTTCAACCAAGTGATCAACAGCAGCATCCAGTTTGCCAGGGGGTAGGGCTTCCTGTTTCATTTCCCCAGTTAGAAAGCCCGATACTGCTAAAGCAATTACTTACATCCTCTAAGGGAAAGGTAACTTGCAATTCTCGGGCCTCATCTTCTAAAATCAAGCCCGCTTCCTTTAGACTAGTAAGAAAAACTCGAAAATCCGGCGAACCGATGTTCACAAGCCGCTCAAGCTGTGGGCCAAGGATCTGGAGGAGCTTTATATGCTGGGGATCTGCTTGGACAGACTGAATCAGATCATCCAGTTGATTCATGCTCATCTTAGTGTATTCCCTAGTTATTATCAGCGGAGTAGAAGTTATCGACAAGAATGTTGACTTACCATATTTTTCGACTAAACAGTATCCCAAATCCTAGATTCTTGACCAGCTTCGTACTCAATTTCTGGCCTCTGCTAAGTTGCACGCTGAAATGTCTCCTCTGCTGGCGTCTGTCACTCTTAGTGACGCTGATAGGACTACCCGTTAACTCTTGGCTTGGTTCGACTTGGTTCAATGCAACCATTCCAAGCCCACTGATCCACCTTCCTTCGCCATCCACGTTCGTTGGAGTATTTTGCATCTCATCCAACACATGCATCGTCGCCCCTCGACGGTCCACCTGCTTACCCTTCTTGGTCAAGATCTTCCCTTGGGCTCGTCGCACTTGACCATCATACCATTCCCAGGCTCCCATATACTCCAGCATGTTAAAAATAGTAACTTGGCGTTGCCGGGAGGATCCCATCTCAAGTACGCGTACCCATATCGACCCATCGGACCATGCATTACTAGTAGACGCGGCAAGTGCCTCCGGTTGGCTGCCTTGCAATGACTGGAGGATTCTCCTGTGCACATCCTTTGGGACGCCATCCTGGTGTTGGCTGAGTTGGTAGAGGGTCCGGGCAGCCTCGGCAATCAACTTCTGGACCGGTGGGGCTTCCATAATGGAAGATTTTGGTATAGATGAGCGGGATAAATCGGGGCTCTCAGCTAACGCTGGCACTTTTTCTCGGTGAATCTCCTCAGTTTGAGGCGAGGATCTATCTTCAATCTGGCTTGCAGCTGGGGTCTTTTCGGCAGGCGGTATCAATTCGGTCAAAAGGTCCGGCATGGGGTTTCCGGATTCACTTGATTCTGGAGTCCTCTTCAGTACCTCCGCGTCCAATTTAATATTCTCGCTCGCCGTGGTCACTGTACGGCAAGCTTTATCGACTTCCGCAGCGTGCCCTCCTACCTCGCGGCGGTCAACATCGAGGATGGATTCCGCATGGCACGAGGAACTGTTGATCTTGGTAGACTTCGATGGACGATAGGAGGGATCTAGGTCTGGCTTTCGTTTCGAAGGGACAGCCTTCGTATCAGCCGCCCTTGCGGGTGAGCCGAGTTTGTTACTCCCTTGGATTGTTCCCACAATGGCTTGTGCGACATCGGGGGCTGTCTCGCAAAGTTGACGAATAATTATGCGGAACTTGTGAGATAATCAGCATGTTATTTATCTCAAGGAAAACACGTACCTTTGGCGTTTCCTGGAGATCAAGGATTGTGTGGGAAGCAATCAGAGCAACAACTCGTTCCAGTAGTGTAATGAGTTCATCTCTGATTCCTGATGTCTGATCGTGGACAACAACATTATCAGACGACATGGTTGAAAGCAAGGTTAACTCAGGAGAATATCGGTGATTGCTAAGGGTAAAAGTGACCGGAGAGAAGGAAGGGGGTGGCCATACTTATAGCCGTGGCACTGGGCGTCCTACCATCCTGGCCGGGCGTTCCAGCATCCTAGGATGGTAGAATGCGAGCTAGGGGAAGGTGGTCAGCAGGGTGGCTGACTAGCCAGGGTGCCTACCAAGGAGAGTGCTTGGTTGGCTATCATTGCTCCACCATCCATCCCCCAGTCGAAGGCAGGACACGGCCTATGGTCATATTAGTTGGCCGGCAACATCCTGTGCGCGGCCCCATCACCAGGGGAACCAATAGATTCTCCTTAACATGGTGCAAATGCCCCTTATATAGGCATATCCTCAACCCAAACTGCCCGATTTACACTCTCCTGGATCATTGACGTCAACCGTAGGCAAATGGCTGGCCAGGAACTCTCATCAGAGCGTGGCGATGACAGCCATTGCAGAGCATTATGGCACCAGAGGCCATTCGGTCCTGCGAGTTGGCTTGGACTGAAACCGCCGACGGTAAACAATTGCTCTTAGTGCCCAGTTTGTTCTCCAGCGGGCGATGTAGGTAGCTAGGCAGAGAGAGCACAATGACAATCCAGCATCCTAGGATGGTGAAAAGTCGGGGCCGCTTGCCACTAGGTGAATCTCCGAACGAAGGATCGGTTGACATTCCAGGCAACCAATTAGAGGCCGGTGATGAGGCTATGACTGCTGCGTTACTGGAACACATTTCGTCAATCAAGAGGCAGAGAACCATCATGATGTGCAGGCAGCAGCCAGGCTGGACAGGCGCCTTCGTTTAGTTTTCTGTCTTAGACCTTTCCTGACCCTCCTTGGCACACTTGGTCCTGGGACACGCTCGTAGTAGTATTCATAGACTGTCCCAGCCGCCCTAGTGGCATGCCTTATTTGGTTCGTGCAAGCCCGCAACTAGTTCAGCGACCGTGAGCTTATGAGGGGCTTTAAACTCTACCGCATAAACTGGTATCTGGCGCTCGTCAGCCACGACATGAACACAGAACTGATCAGCGCGGCGATTGCGTCCCCTTCCCGAGCGAGCCCTCTTCTGACTCTGTGCCACTTGTTTCCCCCTCCCTTTTCTTCTACCTCTCCCGCGGTCGGTGTTTGTTGTTGGATGGGGCGCGTCACTAATATGAATCTGCTCCAGAGTGTCATCCAGCGAGCTTGAGTTTGTGCGGTCATAAAAAGCCACTCGACCCTCAATACCAAACTCCTGTCGTAAAGTTTTATCGCCTCGTAATGCCTCAATAATCGCTTCAACAAAGTTATCCACAGTATCTCGCTCGAAATTCCATAAGGTCGCTTTTGAGAAAATCGGCTTGTTCTGGATATTTGTCGCAACATAGTCTATCTGGGTATCGGAAGGAAACAGCGGATGCGAGGTAAAGTTGGCTGTGCGGTCAAGGTTCTTCCAGATCTGCTCCTGGAGCTGAGAGAAATCAAGACAAGGAACGATGCGCTTGGGAAATAGTCGGTTGACCGGGTCGGTCACGCCGCCTTGGGTTGTCAGGGTCGCATTTGTCTCAACTCGGATCGCCTGTGATAGGGAGTCGTGGCAACGATGGAGAAGGTTAAACAGAGTGTTGGGTTGCAGTCGCCGTTCCGCTTCTTTTGTGTCGCCGTTTTGCCTCTTTTCGTAATTCAGCAATATCGTCCGGCATAGCTAGCGATAAATCTGATTCCAAAGAGCCAGCAGAAATGACCTGCTGTTGGGACACCATGCGTGACACAAACAGAACGGGAGTCGGTATGCGGCATCTGGGCACCTGTTTGCGCCCGATTTCTGATTACTAATCTCGAAGTCCCGTTAACTAACGTAAATCCCGGTCAACCCGATCTCCCGGTCGACCCGATCACCGTAATATCCCATATAAAATAGCCTTTTTTTAATGCTTCATATCTCAACCATCTTAGTCTTATATATGATATAACGATGTATATAGGCTTTATATATATAGCCTTAATATATATTCTATCTATACCCCCTGAAACCTAATAGTTCTTCCAGTAATATAAATTACGCTGTATTTTATTGTATTTTATTATATATTTATATATCTAGAGTATTAAAGTGTCTTAGTACTTAAAAGTGGGCCTAGGCAGGCCTAATAGATAGTTATACCTTAGGTACTTTTTTTAAAACCATTGGATTTAAGGTGGTTGAGATATTCAGGGTTAAAAATGGCATTTTATATGGTGTATTGGGGTGATCGGGTCGACCGGGAGATCGGGTTGACCGGGATTTACGTTAGTTAACGTTCATCCCCAGGTTATTAGAGGTCTATCAACAGATTCCTTATAATATTCAGCTAGCGATCTCTCCATTGTCAACTACAGTATTCACAGCCACATGTCATTATTTATAAGAATATTAACCCGATCTCTTGCTGAGAGTCGTACACCAGTAAACCTGTATCGCGCCCTGACTTCTCCCTGGATACTGCTTCGAGAATACCCTCGTCACATCTGACCATGATCGACCTTCGTCCTTCCTCAGCCTCACCAGGAGGTCCACCTCTTCCGTGGACCACGGCATACCCTTTCTCGGGTTCGTTTGGACACTCTTGCGAACACTCCGACTTTGGTCGATCTCAGGCCGGGGCCTTGAGCGGCGGCTTTCCCGTGCCTTCAATTCTTCACATGCTGTTTGTGAGGTGTCAGACATGCAGTGAGATAGTGCACCTTCAAATAGCCAGGATAGAAATTGCAAACGGTCATCCAGTGGTAGAGACGTGAACTGAGACCGAAGGGCAGCAAAGGAATCTCTGGGTACTGACGTGGAGCGAACTCGAGGTGGCTTGCGAATTCCGCCGTCAGATTTTCGTGTTTTTCGCTTAATCTGGTGCTTCCCATGGTTATCAGGTGAAGGCTGGTCTGGTCCGGTGCCGGGCGAGGGAGTTTGCATTCGTTGGCCGCCATAACGACTTCCCTGAATACCGCCATTATCACTACCATCCCTTTCGCCAGGCACTTCAAAACGGCTAGCTGGACTGCTGAGAATGGCTGGAGGTTCAGGATACAGGCAGGTTGTCTCCGGATTAGTGATGCCGTATGCTAGGGGGGCATGTAGCTGGAAGTCGTCACTCTCCCAAGGCCCGAGATTGGCAAGAATCACCGGATCAATGGGGATGTTGTCTTGGAGGGAGTCTGGTATCCTGAGGAAGTCCTCTAGACTATCGGTCGAGCTAGATGCACTCGGAGATGGGACATTACGCGCTGCGTCATCTTCCTGGAACCCAGGCGGCTTGGTAGGGGTTCTAGTCTCGTCCTGAGCATAGCAGGGGCGGATCAGATCCGGAGCAGGAACATGGGGCACAGAACTCTGTCGAGACGCGGTACTACGCCCGAATGTCTCTGTCTCCAGCTGGGTGTTGGCACTGACATGCACGCAGACTTCGGCCGGTGGTCGCGCCGGTAGGTGATGTTTGGGAGGCAGTAAAGTGCCTGGAAGTAGAACATGACAGGGCTCAGGTTTAGGGGTATTTGAGGTTTGTGGGGAGGACGCATTGAGTGTTCTGTGTGGTGGATACGGTTTCGCGGGAAGAGGGGTCCATGGCTTGAAATTATTTATCTGAAATGCAGGAAGCATATTGTGGGAATCGGGGTAGTTTTGGAGGTGTAACACGGCGGTAGAGATGCGGTTTGAAGGACGAGAGAAAGAACGGAACTGGGGGAGGAAGGGCAGGCTGTGGAAGAATCAACGTGAGATGCCCGAAAGTCTCGTGGGGCCCAATCGTCCCCTTATACCTCGCTCCTGGGTCCGTTACTGTCCAGCATCGCCAGAAGCGGCGAGGCAAAATCCCCTTGCCCGCAAGATCATGACCGGTCTGCTGACGTGCCCACGCTCACCTGCGTACGCTGGGCTGAAACCAAGATCTGGTGCCTGGCCCCAATCGCATCTCTTGACTGCAATTCCAAGCGTCGCATGCCCAAGACACGGAAATAAAACGGATGCGGCAATTTTGCCATTGGCTGGTGGAGCAGGGTAGGGATATGTGATCAGATCCCAGTGGGGTCCGGAAGATGGCCGTGGAGGGGAGAGATGCAACCCTGTTCACCCGAGCGGCACCGGCAGGCTGCGGGACAGGCGTGGTAGCTGGACGATCCAGAAACTGCCCTCCCCATGTCGGATCTTGGAAGCCCATGGCAAGCAGTGAACCAGGTTCCTCATATCGAAGACTGCACCGAGGTAGAAGGAAGGGGATTCAAAAACGGTGCGAGGAAAAGATAAAACGGGCTGACGGGAAGTGTTAGCCAAAGACTCCCAGGTTGCTGAACGCCGCGCGGAAGGTCCCCAAATCACAAGAGTCAGTGACTGGGCAGAATCACAGGTGGTGGATAGGCTCATCGACCAATCGAAGTAATGGTCACAAGGACTTCACGTCTCAATCGTCCAAATAACCTGTCGTCGACGCCGCAGCTGAAGGGGGCGAAGCGAGGAAGGTGGAGATGGCGCTGTGCTGGAAAAGGAGCATGTCCGGATAACGCGGCATCTTGAGAAAAAAAAAAGGGGGCGGGGGGACAGTGCACACTGGGCGCCGTGGGACGGGAAGAGGGAAAAGTGGAAGAGAGAGTGCGTGGTCGTTCGAGGGAGGGAGGCCGGGCTTATATAGATGCAGCGGCAGCGTTGGGGCGGCAGGGGCAGGCACGTAAAAGCGGCGAGACTCCACGCTATTCTCGAAACGGCGGGCGCTATACCGCAAAGGGCAGTGGGATGCCCGTCGACGGCAGGCGGTGGCGGGCGGCAGGCGGACGGTGCAATGGGGGGCCGTTTCCAGCGCCCCGCTAACCGTGTCATCGGATACTTCCTTTATAAGCTACTTAATTATCTTTATAATTATAAGATTTATATTACTTTATTCTCTATAAGTAATTATAGTTATAGATTCTCTTATTATAGGCCTTTATAATTTACCTATATTAATATAACTATATAGTCTTCTAACTAAATATATATAGCTCTTAGTATAGAGATTACTTCTAGTATTATTATTCTTATATAAGGAATGCTTTTAATCTTATTACTCTTATTTTCTTATATAGAGAGTATTTTCTTATCTTTATATTATAGGGATTATAATATTTTAGGTTCTTTATTATTATTTTTACTAGTTCCTCTATAGTATCTATAATAGCTAATATATTTCCTTTATTTTCTACTCTCTTTATTATATATATTTACTTTATTCTATATCCTTAGTACTTCTTAAAGTATCTTTCTTATTATTTTTATTAGCTTAGTACTCTTCTTAGCATTCTTTCTTTATCTCCTTTATATTATTAGCTCTTACCCCTTTAGCTTATAAATATATTAATTCCCTTACTACATGTACTAAAAATTAGATAATTACTAATACTATTTATAGAATACCTTATTATACTAATACCTCTACCTACTATACTAGCTATAGCCATCCTTATAGTAGTTATACTACTGCTAATACTACTAATAATACTCCTTATTATAGAGGTCTAGGCTACCCCTCTTATTATAGTGCTTATACTAGTTATTATACTAGTTATAGTAGCTATATAGCCTATAGTAGGGGGGGGTGGTTATTATACTTAGCTACTACTACCTCCTCCTTTACCTCCTTTACTACCTATACCTACTATTATAGTGCCTATATTCTTTTATTACTAGTACCTCTAAGCACCTACTATTTATATAGGGAGGAAGTACTCCTACTATACTAATATATACTAGCTATACTTATTAATATATTACTCTTTAGTATTTTTTATTTAATATATCTATTAACCTACTCCTTAGTAGTTTCCTACTATAGCTTTACTACTAGCTTACTATATAATCCCCCTTACCTATACTACTAACTATACTCCTACTACTAATAGAGTAGTATTATTAGTAGCTATTATTATTATAGCCTAGGCTTTTAAGGCTTAGATCTATACTAATAACAGCTTATTACCCTATAGTACTATACCTACATTAGCCTATCCCCCTATACCTACCCTACCCCTAGGTTTACCTCCTTCTACACCCTCTATAGCTATAGCTATCCCTATAGGGTTCTTCTTTACTCTACTAGTAGTATTACTATATAGGTTCTAGTTTTTTACTAGGTAAGTCTGTATCTTTTACCTCTGGTAGTTCATAACTAATAATAATATAGAATCTAGATACTCCCCCCCTAGGGGTTAAGCCTATATCTATTTATTTATTCTTTATATACCTTCTATGCTGGCCTTTAGGCCTAATATAATTTATTTATCTTTTAATTAAGCCTTCTACCTTATAGACTTTATAAAGTACTTATAGGCCTTAGTATCTTTAATATACTTATGGGGTTCCTATATATTATGCTTATCTTTTTATTTATACTACTAGACTAGGTACTAGTCTTTACTATATACTTTTTAGTATTAAAGGATAGTATCTATCTCCTATTCCTTACTACCTTTAATAACTATAGGCCCTAGGTAAGGTACTCTCTTAGCATCTCCCTTATATAGTTCTAATAGGGATACATAAAAGATATTATATATCTTTCTATATAACTTAGGTAGGTATAGTTTATATAACTACTTACCCTACTTCTTAATAATTTTAAATAGGCTAAGCATTCTGCTTACTAGCTTCTAGTTTAGCCTAGGGGTAGTGATATTCTTTACTCTTAGCATTATATAGTTACTAATATTTAGTAATATCTTAGTATACTTCCTATTATACTACTTCTTTATCTACTTCTTTAACTTTATAAGCAGGACCTATAGCTTTATATAATTCTTCTTTATCTCTATAGCTCTCTTAGCTGTAGCTAGTATCTTTATATCCTTTAGGGTTAATATATTAATCTATAGGTTTACTTTAAACCCTATAAGTATATAGTATAGCAATATATCTAGCATACTATATATAGTATTATTATAAATAAACTATATAATAGGTAGCTAGTATATCTAGTCATCTTATATCTAGCTAATATATGCGTATAGGTAGTACTCTAAGACCTAGTTTATATATTTAGTCTGCCTATCTGTCTATAGGTAGAAAGCTCCTTCTATATATACTAAGGCAGTAGTAAAGAGTTAACTAGAATAAGCTAGTAAATAAACTACCCCTATCTAATACTAGGTTCTCTAGCATGCCTATAAGCAATATAACTCTCTTATAGAGTATTTTTACTAGCTATATTATATTAATATCCTTTCTTATAGGAATATAGAGTAAATACTTTATATATAGGTTAACTATTACTAAGATTATATTATACACCTTTCCCTGTTACTTAGATAGTAGGAGACCTATAATAAAGTCTATACTTATTTACTGTATAGGTTTAGTAGGAGTAGGTAGTAGTTCTAGCTTACTATAAGGCTTATACTAGTATACTATAATTCTCTAGTAGATATTACACTTATCTATATATACCTTAATATCTTATACTAACTTATACTAGTAGTATCTATACTTAATACTTTCTAAGATATGTTTATACTAATAATAACCCCCTTATAGGTTATTATAGTTTATTTTTATTATCTCTATATATAAAGCTATAGACTATAGTATATATGTAGCGGGCAAGGCCCGCTGAATGCTCGAGCTCACTGAGCACTCGCGAACTGCCTCAGGCAGGCTAGGTCACGTGATTCTGTACTAAGTAATGTCGTGAACAGCCATGTCACGTGACCCCGT